TGGCCCTGACGAATGGCCCTGACGAATAGCACAATGCTTAGAAATGGCCCTGACGAATAGCACAATGCTCAGAAATGGCCCTGACGAATAGCACAATGCTCAGAAATAGCCTTGACAAATAGCACAATGCTCAGAAATGGTCCTGGTGAATAGCACAATGCTCAGAAATGGCCCTGACGAGTAGCACAATGCTCAGAAGTGGCCCTGACGAATGGCCCTGACGAATAGCACAATGCTTAGAAATGGCCCTGACGAATAGCACAATGCTCAGAAATGGNAGCACAATGCTCAGAAGTGGCCCTGACGAATGGCCCTGACGAATAGCACAATGCTTAGAAATGGCCCTGACGAATAGCACAATGCTCAGAAATGGTATGGTGCGTTCTCTGCACAGTTGCGGAAATACTCAGATATGGTTCTTAGGTACGGTGCGCTCTCTGCGCACTATTGCAAAATACTCAATTATGGCCCTCGAGTACGGCGCACACCGCTCACAGTGACCAGCTGCGAAATACTCAGATGTGGCCCTCAAGCATAGTGCGAACGGCGCACAGCATGGTGCGAACGACGCGCTGTTCAGATATGTCCCTGATATGGCCCTCAAGTATGGTCCTCAAGCATGGTGCGAACAGCGCACAGCATGGTGCGAACGGCGCACTGTTCAGATATGGCCCTGATATGGCCCTCAAGTGCGGTATGCGCAGTTGCCAACTCGGACGTGGCCCTCAACGAAATGCTCAGTGTGACTGCGCAATCGACCTGGTGTGACTGCGCAAACAAAATGACTGCACAGGTGGTCTCAAAATCGGCTTGGTACTCGGTGAGACTGTGCTCAAAATCGACTTGTTACTCGAAGTGGCTGAGCAAGCGCAATCCAAAAAGCGGCAAGTACAGCCTCAAAATCTCCATTCCTATTCAGAAAGCGCAGCGTCGCACTTGAAGTGAAGTGTGCATAGTCGCATTTCCTTGAGATCATTCAAGCGCAATTTGTTGGTCGGACGCGCAATGTCGCAATTGAAGTGCGCACAGTTGCAGTCCCTCAGGGTCACTTTGGCAGAACTCTGTGGATCGATTATTCAAAACCGCACTTAAAAGTCATTATTTGCGCAGTGTCGCATCTGAATGCGCACAGTCGCAGAAGCACTGGGTGCCCACAATTGACATATTCAGTTCGAGTGCCTCTTGGCACAGTCAATCAGCGGATTATAATTCGGCATAACCAATCAACGGACTATAAAGCGACATACTCAGTTCAAGTGCCTCTCGGCACAGCCAATCAGCAGACTATAAATCGGCATGCTCAGTTTAAGTGCCTCTCGGCACAGCCGATTAGCAGACTATAAAGCGGCATGCTCAGTTCAAGTGCCTCTTGGCACAATCGATCAGCAGACCATAAATCGGCATGCTCAGTCCAAGTGTCTCTCGGCACAGTCGATCAGCAGACTATAAAGCGGCATGCTCAGTTCAAGTGCCTCTCGGCACAGCCGACTCAATTTGATTGCTTGTTGACGCTCATCTCAGAATCCAACTCTCAAATACAGCACTTGAGTGCAGGGCTCATAGCCAGTCATCAGGTGCAGTGTTCTCCAGTGTTCAGTTCAAGGTCAACCCTCAGATACAGCGCGAGAGCGCATGATTTATGACCAATCAACAGAGCTCATGCATAGTGCGCACAGATCAAATACGACACGTACTTAGCCCACGGAGGCGGTTGAAAGGAGGAGGGAAAGAGAGAAGAGAGAGAGAAGAGAGAGAAGAGATGATGAGAGTTAGGAGAAAGGGTGAGAGAGGGAAAGTGAGGGACCAATCTTGCCCCTCCCTTTCCTTACCCCTTCCCTTGCTTGCCTCCTGCTCGATTCTCTTGTCTCCTGCTCCACGCTCCCCTCTTGCTCCAGCTGGCACGTCGCTGTTCTTTGGCCCGTGGCTCTCGCTCCTTGCCGTTCTGTCAAGGCTATAGTGCTCTCTTAAGCGAGGGTTCTCTCTCACTCTGATGCGGCACTTCCTTCTCACGCATGCTGATCTCTCGAACTGATCTGATCTTTTGGGTGACGTGGCCTCTCTTTTATAATGGAGAGGCCAAGTGATCGGGGCAGAGTGCTGCGGTCCCAGGGTCAGGGCCGTGGTCTAACTCTAGACCGGGCCTGTGCTAAACATAGCAGCAGTCCAGACCTCGGGATATGAACAGTCAGTCCTATTTTTAGAACGGGACTGGCGCAGGCCCAGTCCCCGGTAGATGAACAGTCAGTCCCACGCTAAAAATAGCGTGGGGCTGTGCTATTTTTAGAACGGGACTGACGCAGGCCCAGTTCCCGGTAGATGAACAGTCAGCCCCTTGCTAAAAATAGCATGGGGCTGTGTTATTTTTAGAACGGGACTGGCGCAGGCCCGACTTTGGGAAACGAACAGTCAGTCCCGAGCTAAAAATAGTACATGACCCTATTTTAATTATTTGGGTCTGGCTGCTCATCTATATGGCTACTTAGGGCTGTTCCTTTCCTGACCGGGTTACGCGGTCGTGTCGGTCCGGTCCCAACCGGTCAAACTTGAATATCTCGCTAACCCTTGGTCCGTTTCAAGTGCCATTTCGCGTCGGTCCAGTCCAACGAGGAAGATTAGTCCTTCCAGAGGATCGTACCGTCGCGCTGCTCTTCCCTCGGCTTCGGCCCAGGGGAAGTCTAACCAAAGTACTAGGGTCCATGACTACGGTACACAATTTTTGACGCAGCGCGGGAGTTGACCGCGGCGAGTCAATTTCCGCTGCTGCGCCGCATCATCTTCCGACAACGCCCGAACCCAGGCCACTCTCGTAGCCTATAGCCGAAAACTGTGAAAAGCCTAAAACCAGTGTCGAACAGAGCGCAAGTGCTGAAAACTGACATCAAACTGTGCCGTCAACGCCTTGCTGAACAACCAGATGCACGACACAGCTGCAGCACAGCACACTACATTATACCATAATCATGCATATTGAAAATTTCCAAATCGATCCATACCTCAAGAGCTTGGTTCCACTTCAAAACACGGGAGTAGCCGCGCAACAGAATGTTGTACGTCACCATCGTAGGGTGAAGGCCTGCTTCTTTCATCTTTATTAACCCCTGCTCCTCGATGATTCATCACACAGCCAATCGAAAAACAAAGTGCACCCACCTGTGAGCCACCCTCATTAATAAAATGATGGCCCTAGAGGCTAGAAATGGACCCGAAGCCCATTTAACTCGCATTATCATTAACAAAACAAGACCAGTACATGTCTGTGAGTTGAATTTTGAAATGATACACAGCACATTATGCTGGCGCCAGCACACAGATGACATGCACAAATCGAGACACAGTCCAATTCAAAAACAAAACAAAACAAAACAAAAATTACAAAACTTCCGTCTCTTGTTTAGTACGTGACACGTGTCCATATTTCACTTTTTTTTCATTTTTTTTTCTTCATACTGCAATGCAAACTCACAAAAATTAAATCCCCCCTGTGCTGTGATATGACATGATATGCCTTTGAAATTCAACGTTCAAACTTCCACGACTCAAATTGCTTTCGCTGTAACATAGCCTGCTGCCATAGGGAATCCTCTTCCTTCTGTCTCCAGGTGCAGGTGCCGGTGCAGGTGGAGGGACGACAGAAACTACGAATCCTTTTCTTACTTGGTAGAGCTGTGGTTGCTTCCAACAAGCAGCTTTGGATTAACTAATCTTTCTTTATCTTTCTTGTTTTAAATTTTAACTACACATGTTTTCACCTCCATGCCACTGACTCGATCAACTTCAAAACACTAGATAAATACTGTGGAATGGTGTGAAAACACTGAGAAGTTCCCAACCTTCATAATGTGTGTGCGGGAGCTGCAAGTAAGCTTCCCGGCCAGCAACTGCACCCTGCAAATGAGTCGTGGTTCGGGGGGAGAGCGGCCGAAGCAACCCCCCCCCCCCTTGTATAAGTGACGAGAGCTGCAAGGGTGGCGGTATCTGACTCTTATCTAATCTACTCCTCCTTTTCCTCTTCCACTGCTTCTCATGTACTATTGGCTTGCCGGTGATGAGCAACCGGACTGATGACGACCAGAATAGATTGGGGGCTTGGGGGAAAAAAAAAAGGCCACTGAAAAGTTGAAAAGTCGAAAACAGAGAAGCGGCACGACCCGCAATCATGATACAGTTGGTCTTAAAGCACCAGTAAACCATACATAGGCCCGCAGGTGTCAGCATGGAACCCGCACCACTTCCGAGGCCGCAGATTTCTTTTTTTCCACCAACGCCCCATGCCGCGCGGCCGCTCCGAGTTTCGCTTGTGGCGACAAACAGTTTCTGCAACGCTGGGGCCGTGTACTGGCTGTTTAAGCCATCAGTAAAAATCCTGGCGACCGTGCGTGCGCCTGCCAGTTACGATCGGGCCGCCGAACAGCTCAGCCTACCGGACAAAAATGGACGACAGCGCCCCGTAGGCCTTGTCCCCAGGATCTCTATGGCCAACATCACAGCTGGTATCTCCATGCTCAAAATGAATCAGACGACTGCCAACCGCTGAGACAGGGATTCCCCAACAGTCAAGTCTCACCAGCGACTGTCACAATAAGTTGCTCCACCAGTCAGTGAATCCACAACTTTTCTCCTTCTAACTTCTCTCTCTCTCTCTCTCTCTCTCTCTCTCTCTCCCCCCCCGCCCTCCCTGCACCCCATGCTTACGTGCATGATGATCTTCTATCTGCCTCCCCGTTTCTCTTGGCTCGAGTTTCCATAGCTATGTTCATATGTAACTTGTGAATCGTGACCCGCATTCAAGAATCTCGGTGAACACTTCAGAGGCTGCAAGACATTCCTGCCAACAATGATATGATAACCGCCAAGGCTGCCAGTTTTTTTCTCTGCCTTCGTAAAAACATAGTAAACGGTTTGTTAGTTTTGCTGCTATTTGTCTCAGGCATTGGCTTCATTGCGCTGGGCAGAGAGTATGTCAAGAGGATTGCACAGCCCTTTGTGTGCATTCACAGGACAACCCATCCCGCATCCATCCTGCTGTCGGTTCAAGGCATTGCAACTCCGCATTCGAATTTTCAATACCCAAAAAACTTTGTGAATACATAATCAAATACAGAAGTTCAGGACATCCGTTAAAATTGGAACGATACAGAGAAAAGAAGATTAGCATGGCCCCTGCGCAAGGATGACACACATAAATCGAGAAAAGGACCAAATTAAAAAAAAAARAAAAAAAAAAAAAGGTTCCAGAACTGACAATCAATTTGAATCAGATCGTTTGATACCATCGGAAAAGTGTGGATATCTAGGTTGAGGCAGAGAGGGGATTGTTCAGGTATATGATCGTATATCTGATTTGCATTATTAATTTATTGTTCGTAATAATACGATAATAGATATTCAAGTTAATAATTCAACTTAATAAATTCAAGTAAGTACAATACACTCACATCATGTGCTGAAGAGAAGAGCGCACCTGTCGGGCCCTCTCCATTTTTCCACACTTTGCAAGCATGTCCAGCAGTAAATTGTACGTTCGCACACTTGCCCGCGTTCCCGACCGCTGTACTTGTTCGAATAGCTCAAGCCCTTGTTTCCAGTTTCTTAATCTGTAACCAAGGCAGGGAGAAGAGGGGGGAAAAAAAAAAAAAAACGATTACATAATTAATAAAATGTGGGTTGTTTGTCCGGGCACCTGGGCACCCAACTTGTGCCTTGATACACGCCCGGATGCCCAGCAGGGCATGAACCCCAGGCAGGGGTCCAGTGGCAAAAAAAAAAAAAAAAAAAAAAAAAAATCAGATAAGAAAAGTGCTGTGTAGAATTGGAACACAAACAACTTCTGGCTGAGGTTTACATCAGAATTCCTCATGGAATCTCAAAAAAAAAAACAGAAAACAGCAGAGTCAGATTAAGGCACCCCCCTTTAAAGTTTAAACCCCTTCAGCCCCTTCAGAACCAACTTACACCCCCCTTCCCCCCCCTTTGACAGCCAACAGTCGAAGAACGACAGGAGCCCAGATTTGGGTTCCCCTGGCAATGTGCGGAAAACCTCCACCCCAGGCTGCACAGCTGGGCAAGCCAAGTAGCCTAGATAAAAATAGATAAATAGTTTCTAAATCTAAATAAATGAGTAAATAAATGTGAAGATTAGCGAGGCAGGTAGAGAGTTCAAAGCCATGCTGCCAGAGAGCATGGGAGCCAAGTTAAGAACTGACAAAGGGGAAAGGGATGAGAAATGAAGAAAAGAAAAAAGACAAAAAAAGAAGGGAAAAAAAAAGCCGGGATATTTTCATGGACAAATGGCACTTTTCTCTTTTTCTTTTTTTCAGTATTTTTTTCAGCATTTCACAAATCTCTCCCTTCCTCTTTATTCACAGAAAATGGGGTCCAGTGCCCAAGGCAGTACACAACATAGTACATGCCAATTCAAGCAGGGGCTGATAGGCCTCGAGCCCTCGACCTCAGGCGGAGCCTAACCCCCGAAGAAAATGCACAAAAAACTCAAACAAAGCCCATGACCCCCAAATAAAAGTCTCCTTTAAAAAGTCTCCACAAGCCATAGCATCAGTAGCCCCACCCATAGAAGCCAGCAGTGGGCAAGAAGCCCGTAAAACAACATCGGACTTGACCAAGCACCTTGGGTAGTTTGTGCTACTGATATCCCCTCAAAAATACTGAGCTCGGAGCAATATCCCTTCAGTTGTCCTTTTCCAATGCCTCCAGGGTTGCATGCCTGCCGAACACCGACCCCAACCGCCGACTGTTTTGCAGCCAACCAGTAGCGCCGACCGGTCGGCGGTCTGCCGACCAGTCAGAAAACAGCCGTCCACAGGCTTTTTTCAAATCTGAGTTGGGGGCTGTGCTGCACTTGCTGAGTACAGCCCAAATCCACTGAGTAACTTTTGGAGTTCGGAGGGGGTATGGGGGGGTTTGGGGGGGGGAATAGGGGGGGGGAGTGGGGTGCAGCCGACCAGTGCCGCCGACCGGTTGGTCTGCCGACCAGTCAGAAAACAGCCGTCCACTGACTTTTTTCAAATCTGAGTTGGGGGCTGTGCTACGCTTGCTGAGTACAGCCCAAATCCGCTGAGTAACTTTTGGGGTCAGAAGGGCTATGGGGGGGTTGGGGGGGGGTAATAGGGGCTATTGAGGGGGGTATGAGGGTGTTGGTGGGCGTTTTGGTGGTGTTGAGGGGGTCTATGGGGGCATTGGGGGCGGGTATGGGATGTTGGTGGGGTTATTGGGGGTTCCGAACCCCCCCCCACACAAAAAAAAAGGGATGCCGACTACCCCTGACCAGTAGGTGCCGGCCAGCCAACTGCTCGGCTGGTCAGCAGCCGACCAGTCAAGGGGTGCCGACCATCAGGGTATGCAACACTGAATGCCTCCTAATTTCCTAAACCATCTAATGCCCACTTGTAGAGATTTCGCTTTGCCGCCTTTGCGCATTTCCCTTTGCCAATCCTGATAAATTGCCTGCCTCATTGAATGGTCTGAATTGTATTCTTAGGGGACGCTGGACCCGATTTCCAGCAGCTAGAAGTGTCTGCTTTTATGAAGTTTTATCATCATTTCTAGCTGTAACAGCTGGTGTTTTTCTTTTGAAAAAAAAAAAAAAAAGCCCGCCTCATCACCCTTTCACTCACACCATAAAAGTTTGAATTGAAGGCGGAATTACAGATGTCACTAAATCATTTCGTTGCGTCCAAAACATTCACAAAATTCTCCTTGCGACAGTTTCAAACTTCAAAGTCATCCTTGTTGTTTTCAGAGTAGTCTAATAACCAACAAAGTGCCAAGAAGGACCGCACCATTTGATCAACGATCCGGCCACTGTGATGACAATGGGTCTTAATTTCTCTTAAACCACCAGTACACCCGGGCCTGGAGGGGGCCTCACTGGGCGGCGCCAAGCTTTTTCAAACCACCAGAGGCGCATTTTCTTTCTTTTTTGGCTTGCGCCTCCAGCCATTGTGGCCCGGTAGGCCTAGCCCCCAAAAAATTGTAGGCGAGGAGTTGTATTTTCAGCAAGGCCGGGGCCGTCTATTCGCGGTTTAGGGTTTCCAAATTGCGCACCCTCACAACTGTGAACAACAGGAAAAAGCTTCAAAAAACTTGAACAAAGTTAAATAACAAAAACACCAAGAAAAACTTGATTAAAATTTTCTTCATTATTTATCATTAGAATGTATAGCAATTATTTCGTTTTAAAATGTGATTTTATAGTTGATTCATTCATTTTAGTAAATTGAGTTTATTGATATTATATACATATATATGGAGTAATATCAATAAACTCAATTTTACTAAAACGAATGAATCAACTATAAAATCATATTTTAAAACGAAATAATTGCTATACTTAGAATAAATAAAAGTTAAATAACAACAAAAGGTTAAAAACACAAAAAACAACAACTGAGAAGTTGTGTGATTGATGAAGAAACCTGAAGTCCGAACACTGAGCTTTGAAAGTTGATCCAAAATCGCACCCCTACCGTCTTCACCCGAACAGAACGCCCGGTCGTTATAGCTGCATTTGGCACAACTTTCAGTGCAGATGCAGCGAGAACACCCGGTCGTTATAGCTGCATTTGGCACAACTTTCAGTGCAGATGCAGCGAGAACACCCGGTCATTATAGTGCATGGGTCCTGGGGACCATCTCACGCAAGTGTGTACATGCCATGCATCGTACTCCCACACACAATGAACAGTAGTCTGACAATAGACAAAGATAGAGAAGATGAGGACCGAGTTTCACAGTTTATAYTATCAGAAATATGAATACAAA